ACCCTCCCAAACCGGGGGTGGGGAGGGTTTGGGGGTTTAGGGAGGGTTTTGGGGGTTTTGGGGGGTTGGGGAGGGTTTAGAAGGGTTTGCGAGGGTTTACGAGGGTTTAGGAGGGTTTAGGAGGGTTTAGAGGGTTTAGAGGGTTTACGAGGGTTTACGAGGGTTTACGAGGGTTTAGAGGGTTTAGAAGGGTTTAGAAGTGTTTAGGAGGGTTTAGAGGGTTTAGAGGGTTTGGGAGAGCAGTTGAAGGGCTGGAAAGAGGGTGGATTCGTCAAACCCTAAAAAAGGGTTTGGGGTTTACCAGTGCCTGTTCGTCGACGGGGGGCCCCTCGACTGTGGGGTAGGCGTGGACCACAAAGTCTTTTTCGATGAAGAGAACACAAGAGTCGTTTTGGAAAACCCTAATTGGGGTTTCGAGGGTTTGGAGAAGCAAAGGACAGTTGGAAAAAGAAATAATCGAAACCCCCACGCGCTTCAAGTGTTGCCGCGAAACCACGCACTTCTGAGGGTTTTCTAAACCCCAAAAAGAGGTTTGGACAAACAAATAGTCGTCTCCACTTTGCGCCAAATGCAACTCGAAAGAAGTCTGGCGACGGCTGTAAGTGCTGAAGTCCTCAGCCCCCGTCTCACGCACGTCCATCACGATCCTGCGCCCAAACCACGATTTAGGGTTTAGGGTTTAGGGTTTAGGGTTTGGGGTTTGGGGTTTGGGGTTTGGGGTTTGGGGTTTGGGGGAAGCATTTGGTGCGGGGCGGGGAGTGCGGTGCAGCAGTTCACTAGGGTTTAGTAGGGTTTGCTAGGGTTTACTAGGGTTTACTAGGGTTTACTAGGGTTTACTAGGGTTTAGGGTTTAGGGTTTAGGGTTTAGGGTTACGCGGCTGCGGCCTCGGGGAACTTGGCGAGTTTGCGTTTTTCGCCGTAAGCGGCTCGGACGGCAATTCCCAAACTTCTTAGAGAAGCTTCTTCGGGGTTGCAGCCTTCTTTGAAGCCAGCAATGAGGCGGCTGTTGGCGATTTCTTGCACGGAAGGGCCTTCTGCTGCTGCTGCTGCTGCTGCTGCTGCTGCTGCTGCTGCTCCGAGCAGCAGCAGCTGCAGCAAACTCCTTTTAAGTGCCATTTGTGAAAAAAAAACAAAAAAAGAAGTCAAAAGACCCGCGAAAACCGCCCCAGTGCCCCCCGCCGCTCGCGGCTGCTGCCAGAAACCCGAAACTGCGCTCCAGCACTTCCAACAATGACCCCCTGGCCTCTTTTTCCAATCAAATGACACAATTTATTTAATTAAATGCAAATTCGCGCCGTTTCGACGCACTAATTGATTGTGCCGAGCTGTAAAGACACCCGAACCGCGCCGCGCCCCCCCCGCAGAGTCACTGACCGCTGCGGGGCCGCACAGACACCCCAGCCCCCGCGGCTCTGCGGCGCGTTTGCGCTTGAAATAAACTAAATTGAATAATCAAATTCAATTTATTTGAACTTCTAAACATTTTAAATCATTTATTTTCCCTTTTTCCCGTTTTTTCCGCCTTTTCGCGCGCCTTCTCGCCCCGTACGCACGCAGTGGTCCGCCAGCGGTCACTCCGCCCGCCGCGCCGGAGCGCGGGTTCCTTTGCACTTATTTGCGCCACTTCGGCCGTTTAAATCGACGCAAATCAATTTAGTTTTATTTATTTTAATTTAATTTGCAAAAATAAATTCAAACGGAGAAAAATTAATGCACATTTCGTCTTCTGCACTCCCTCCGACCCGAGCGCAACTCACCTGGTGTCAGTACAGCTCAGGCGCGCATTCGAGGCACAGTTGTTTCTCATATTTCTTCAAATTCATTTTATATATTTATTTATATTTATATTTATATTTATATTTCCATTTAAGGCTTCAAGGAGCTTCAAATAGTGCAATATTCTAATTTTATCTGCACTTAATGCACCAGGAAGCTCCCAGTTGTTCTGCAGTTCCACCAAATGCAGGAAAGCTGGCATTTGCACTCGCTACCAAAACGCATTAGGGTTTAGGGTTTACAGCCACACGCACTATAAACGCTCTGCTGCTGTCCCCACAGCTGTTAGTTGCTGCTGCTGCTGCTGCTGCTGCTGCTGTTACGTTGCTGCTGTTGCTGCTGCTGCTGCTGCTGCTGCGATTTGGGATGCTGCTGCTTCTACAGCTGTTAGGCTTGCTGTGCACTTGAGAAGCTCAAGTATCCTAGAACCGGAACCCTAAACCCTGAGGAACTGGGTAAAACCCTAAACCCTAAACCCTAAACCCTAAACCCTAGTAGGAAAGAACTTGAAGGCCAAAAGGCAATCAATCAAAGCTGAAGTTTTGCTGCAAAAAAAACCGGAAGCAAAAGTGTCATTTGTGTCCAACTGGACGTACACCCCAAGAGCCAACGGGAAGCCTTTTTTGTTTTTTATTTTCATTTTTATTTCTTTCCGAATATCCCCAGAGAACAAAGTGCATTAATTATTTATTATATTATATATAATATATATATGCATTATATATAATATAATACATTATATATATGCATATGTATATATATATATATATTCATGCATATATATATATATATATATATATATATATATATATATATATATATATATATATATATATATTATAAATATATATATATATTATATGTATAGATAATGCATCTATACATATATGAATAATAAATAATATTTTGGATTATGATTGCATGCAATTAAAGAAACTGCCGGCGCACGCGTGGAGGCGGTGAGGTGTACAGACAGCTCAGGTGTACGTACACCCCACCTCCGCACGAAGGTTCCAAAATTCGAAATAATAAAAATAGCTTTTTGGCCATCCCAGAAGAGTCTTTTGCACATTAAGTGCTTTCTCGAAGCAGCTCCTTTCACCCTTCAAGAAGCAGCAGCAGCAGCAGCTGCAGCAGCAGCAGCAGCAGCAGCTGCAGCACGTATATAAATGGCAGGTGCATGCGAATTTGGGTCTAAAGAGTGCTGTGTTGGGCTGAAGCGCATGCAGGTGCCCAGCAGCAGACCCCGGGGAGCGATCTGGAGTTTGAAAAGATGAATTATTTGTTGAAGAGGAATTAAAGAGGAAAAAGGCACCTACATTTTAATAGGCGAATGCAAAACACCGAAATGGTGGAAAGTGGAATGGCTGTGGCTTGCGCGGCGGCGCGTGGGGTGTACAGACACCGGGTCGGAACTTGAAATACCTGCGACCGCGTCGGATTTGCCGGAATTTGCGTCGATTTTTGCGATTAAAAGTCCAATTCGGAGTAATTTTGGAAAATAAGACCGAATTTGAGGGAAGAAAAGCGAAATTCGCGCGGGATTTGGGCGGATCGGCGCTACTCCGTGCGGAAGGCGTCGGCGAGGACCTCGGGGAAGCCGGCGCCGTGCAGGAGGCGTTGCAAGTCGAACTGGGCCGTCAAGGCGTTCCAAGCGCGCTTTCTTTTGTTAATTTTTGCACTTTCTTTGATTATTTTTGCATTTTCTTCTTTTAATTTCGCGTTTTCGGCGCTTTCTTGCGCGCCGGAGAGGCAGAATCGCGCGGCGTCCTCCAGCGCCGCGGCCACCGCGCTCACCAGCCGCAAGTACAACTCCTGGTCTTTGCTGCTGCGCACGTAGCGGGAAAGGCCTATTGCTGCAGGCCACTGCGCAGCAAAGCGCTGCAGCGCGCGCTGCAGCAGCAGCAGCAGCCGCTGCTGCTGCTGCTGGTCGAGGGCGCCCCTGGCGGCCAGGATCCTGCAGAGCAGCACGAGTTCAGCAGCAGCAACGAGGTCCTGCTGCAGCAGCAGCGCGAGCTTGGAGTGGCTGTAGGGCTGCAGGCGCTGCGTCTGCTGCAGCTCGCGCGCCTGCTGCAGCAGCAGCGCAGCAAGCTGCTGCAGCTCCGCGGGGGCCCCGTGCAGCAGCAAATAGTCCGCGGGCTGCAGCAGCAAACTGGACAAAGACTCTTTCCTTTCGACCCAGTCGAGGGCCCCCTCGTGGCTGGCGAGGGGCAGCAGCTGTGCGGCGCTGCGGGGCGCCTGCTGCGGCTCGGCCTCCGCTGCTGCTGCTGCTGCTGCTTGCTGCTGCAGCAGCTGCTGCTGCAGCCCCCACTCCACCGCAAAAGGCAACTCCCTCCCCTCTCCTAAACCCTTTCCTAAATCCCCTTCTCCGCCAATTCCAGACAAAGTCATTGAGACAAAACAAAGCATTCCGAAGGCCACGAGGACGGGGAGCCAGGCGGGGGCGGGGGAGTTGACGAGGGCCTGCCGCTGCGCGAAGCTGAGGTACCGCTGCGGGCTGCTGCTGCTGCTGCTGCTGCTGCTGCTGCTGCTGCTGCGCTGCCGCTCCAGCTCCGCCAGCGCGGCGCTGCTGCTGCTGCTGCGCTGCCGCTCGAGCGCCGCCAGCGCGGAGCCGCGGCTGCCGCGCGGGACCCGCGCTCCTGCTGCTGCTCGCGCTGCTGCTGCTGCTGCTGCTGCTGCTGCTGCTGCAGCGCCCCCGGACTCCCCACTGCTGCTTTCCGCTTGCTTCGCAGGAACTTCCATTTTGCAACACTCAAAGTCCAGCAGCTGCTGCTGCTGCTGCTGCTGCTGCTGCTGCGGCCAGCGCGCAGCCGCTCCGCTCGCCGCGAGGGTTCCGCCCGCCGATCCGCCGGCTCTCGCCGGATTTTTCCCAACTTCAAACTCAAAACTGCAAATTAAAACTCTTTTGCACTTTTATTTTTTCCCAAAAAAGCCCAAAGGCCCGCGGGCGCCCCCCCAGCCCCCGCCGCCACACACGCCAGCCTCCCGCGCCGCGACACAGCGGCATGCACTCTCCGCCCGCCGCAAACTCTAAAAACCCTTTTTTCAACACAAGTCCGCAAAATTGAAGACTTTTCGACTTTTAATTCCTTTAAATCGCAAAAAACTCCTCCGGGGGCCCCCGCGGCCTCCCGCGCCAGCCGCCGCGCGTTCAGAAAACCTTCCTCGCATTTCCCACACTCGATCTGAACTCCAGCGCGAACTCCAAACCTTTTAGACTAAAAAGTTGCATTTTAATTCAAAACTCCGCTTTTTGGAGTTAAAAGAAGAAAATTCCCTCCGAACTGGAGGGAAATCACTGCCAATTCGCCTCCGTACCGCAGCAAGCTCGCGCGCTGCAGCGGCGGACTCGAAAGCTCCACTTCGAAGCTGATCTGCCTTTAAAATGAATTAAATGCCAAACTAAAAGTTCTTCCCTTTTATTTTGCTGCTGCTAAACCCTCGAGCTGCTCGCCTTCCGCTTATTTCGGTGCTGGCTGCTGCAGAGCTGGATACGACTCTGCAGCAGTTGAGTGTTCCGTTTGCAGCTCTTTAATGCTTCTTTTTCCTTTTTCAAGTTTTATTTGCTTTATTTTCGCAGTTTTGAGTCCTAAAGTTGACGGAAAACGCCACTTGTGCCGCTGTTCAAGTCTTCGCCACTCCCCAGGCAGCCAGCCAGTTCAACTTCTGTTCAGCTTTCCCGGCTCCGCGGGTAACTCTCTGCTCCTTTTTCCATCATTCTTTTGGTTTATTTCCTCAAAAAACTCTTTTATTCGCCATTTATTGTTCAATAAAAAGGGTTTTTATTTGTTTCTTCGCTGCTGCGCGACGCCACAAGTCCTGTCTTGCGCTGCATTTCAGAAAAAGCTGAACTTGCACAGCTGCGGCTCTTCCTTCCTTCTCTCCGCGCCTGAACAAGTTTTAAAGAATTTATATTCAAAAGCAATTCTTGAGCTCCAGTTTAATTCCACTTTCGCAAACAACTGCAGCTGCTTTCTTGCAGGAAAGCTTCTGCGGCCGCTGTGGCCACACACCCGTTTATATTCAAGTACTTTTATTTATACTTCTTTATTTTATTTATTTTATTTATTTTATTATTATTTTATTTATTTACTTATTTCTTAGTGCTGGAATTCTCCTTTCTAAACAGCGCTTCGGGGTTTCCCCAGGTTGGCTCTGGGGCTTCCCTTCCAGCACGCGTCTTTGCATTCAATTGTAACTGAAGAGATGTTCTCATTTGATATATTTGATAATGACATTTATGAATCATTTAATTACAATTTAATGCAAAAGAAACTATCAAATGAGAATATCTCTTCGAGAGAGTTCAAATCCAAAAAAGTTCCCGACTGCACTGGCTGGAGCCCCCGCCAGGTTTCTGCAGTAGATCTTCTTTAATAGCATAAATAAGTGCCTAAATAGCATAAATAAAAGCTATTAAACTATTTATTGGCTTTATTGATACTTGGCTGCTGCTATTTGAGCAAATAAGCTCAGAAGAGCTGCAAAATGAGGGTTTGCTGCAGCCCGAACCCTAGACCCCCAAACCCTAAACCCCAAACCCTAAACCCCCAAACCCTAAACCCGCAATTCGAAAAACCCCAGATTTAACTTTTCTGCTTTTATTAAAACTTCGGAATTGCCTCTCTGAAATGAAAACAGAAATGGAAATGAAAATTGACAGTTTACAAGTTGAAAAAGTGAAACAATTGAATGCAGAAACAAGAAATAAGTCTGCACTTGAGTGTCTAAACAGCTCATTTTGAAGCTTATTCAAATTCATTTTATTGTTTTTTGCATTATAAATAAATTTTAATGCACTATCAGCTCATAAAGACACAAATGGGAGCCCATTCTTGCAAATGCGCACAAGCATGCAGCTAAATCTGTACACTGCATGCATGCATCTGCAGCCAATGCAATCTGTGCACAAGTACATATACTATATACACTTGTGAATGCTTTTTTGTGATCTTTACTGTTGCTACTTTTGCAGCTGCTGCTTCTGCTGCTGCTGCTTCTGCTGCTGCTGCTCCTGCTGCTGCTCTTGCTGCTGCAGCTGCAGCCGCAATACGCCACTGCGCGCGGTTGCATCAATTTCTGTTCTAGGCAATGGTTTCGCTGCTGCCACTGCTGCTGCTGCTGCTGCTGCTGCCGCTGCTGCTGCTGCTGCTGCCGCTGCTGCTGCTGCTGGCGCTGCTGCTGCTGCTGGCGCTGCTGCTGCTGCTGCTGCTGCCGCTGCTGCTGCTGATGTCGCTAGTGCTGGGGATGACTGCTGTGTAAGTGTCTCTTATAAACCTAAAGATGGAAAACCATTCCTCTAGAGACCGCGCACAGACGGACTTGCCGTAAATTACAAAACTTGAATTCGGGCGCATTGAGTAGCGGGGGTCTGGCTGCTGAAACCAGGTGGGATATCTGGAAACAGAGTGACAAAAGACCAAAAAATAAACAAAAAAGGCAAATTAATCAAATATAAACATCAAATCTCATTCATACCTGGAATTTGAGTGAGAAAACAGCAAAAAATTGACACAAAATGCAAAAAGTAGTCAAAAATAAGCATTAGATCTCATTCACATCTGGAAACAGAGTGACAAAACCAAAAAACGAACAAAAAGCGCAAAAGTGATCAAATGTAAACATTAAATCTCATTCATTCTCGAGTTAAAGTGGCAAAGCAGCAAAAAATAAACAAAAAGTGCAAAAATAATCAAAAATAAACATCAGATCTTATTCAGTTGCTCTTCAACATTTGCTTGAATGCGCTGCGCGCAGTTGAAGCTGCTGCAGCCAAAACGGGCCCCAAATGACGCAAAAAAGCAGAAAAGGGAAATAAAAAAGAAACAAAAAGAAATAAAAAGAAAATAAAAAGAAATAAAAAGAAAATAAACAAAAAGAAATAAAAAGAAAATAAACATTTAAAAAGAACAACCTGAGCGCCTTGGGGGCAGGTTTTCAAGTGCTTCTTCGGGGTCCAGTGAGTGGTTCAACAAGGAAATGCATAAACAGACTTCATCAACTCGGGAATAAAACAATTAAATATGTTTATATATTTTTAATATATATATTTGATTTATATATACATTTTTAATACATATATCTGATTTAATATTTATAAGTATGCAGCATAAACTGCAGAATATGTATTGGGCGATTCATGAATCTGCAGAACTAATGCATGATCTGCTTGCACATCCTGGCTTTCTTTTGAAGTAAATTTGATTTGTTTGGCAAATTATGAACTCTTTTTTCATAATTTGACAAATTATGAATTCTTTTTCCAACTTTAACAAATTATAATTGCATTTTGCAAAAGAAAACGCCTACCGCATGGGGTTGCAGCGCATGACCCACGGCATCGAGCCGAAGCCGATTTCTTTGTACTGCTCGGGCACCTGCGTGCAAAAGAGCAGAGTTTTCAGTTTTCTGTTTTTAAATTGATAAATAAATTCCGAAATAAACCAAAATAAACAAATTAAATCAAAACAAACACAAATTAAATCGAAATAAACACAAATGACGCATGCATCGCACAGATTCAGCAGCGCGCAGCACATGCATGCCAGCCCGCCGCCGGGGGTTGGAGCTAGGGTTTAGGGTTTAGGGTTTAGGGTTTGCTGGGGTCCCTGAACGCCGCTTTTTCTCGCCGCACATCCTTCGCATCCACGCAAAGAGACCCGACTTGTCGGTAGTCTCGAAAGTCCTTCCAAGCTGCCACTTGGGCTTGCAAAATGCCTCCAAGTGGAGAATCCAATTCCCCTCTTTGGGCCAACAGCGGCGCGTAGAGGCCCCAAGGCTCGTAGCCGGGCTTCAGGTCGTCCGACGGCACTTTCGCGTACAAGTACGGCAGGTAAGAAGTGTCTGCAGCAGCAGCAGCAGCAGCAGCAGCAGCAGCAGCAGCAACAGCAGCAGCAGCAGATAAAGACCAGCAGAAAGCTGCAAAGACCTCACGCAAACACTGGAAGTTTTATTTTATCTCTTTCACTGCATTCATGCTGATAATAAATAAATATATATATTGAGTAGATGCATACAATATATCTACTCAGTATTTATATATTTATATATGTATATATATATATATATATTATCTATATTTTATACATATATTTAAAGTATTTAAATATGCATTTATGCATGCATGCATTTGCATGCGATCTGTCGCGTTGGCGCTTCGGTACTGGCTCAGTGGAACTGTTTGCTGCTGCTTGCTGCTGCTTGCTGCTGCCTGCTGCTTATTGCTGCTGCCTGTAGCTGCTTGCTGCTGCTTGCTGCTGCCTGTAGCTACCTGCCGCTGCTTGCTGCTGCCTGCTGCTGCTTGCTGCTGCTGCTGCTGCTGCTGCTGCTGCTGCAGCAAACGGGAACAAACCTGAAAGGTGCCAGCCCCCGTGGAGGTAGCGGTGGGGTGTCAGTGAAGAGGGGCAGTGTCGGGTGTACGCGTGGCTTTCGTAGACGAAGTCGGTTTTGGTCTCGAGGTGTCGGATGGACTTGTACGGCTGCGCGAAACGGCGGAAAGCTCGCAATAAAAGCGAAAAATGGCATTTAATTGAACTTAATTTTAAAAATTAAATCATTTTAGATGCAAATAAAACTCAAAAAGCAGCAGATCGCGCAGAACCCGCCTCGCGGCTGAGAGGCTTCGGTGCAGCATCTGCTGCTGCGCGCTGCAGCTTTACTTCGCGTGTCAGTGACCAAATGCAAACAAATTGAATTAAATTTTATCTTTTTATTTATTTTTATTTGGCATTTCCCAATTAGTGGCGAAATATAAACGGATTTAACTTCTTCTTTCCGCCGCTGCTGCTGCTGCTGCTGCAGCTGCTGCTGCTGCTGCTGCAGCCCACCACTGTGTCCACCAGAGGCCCTATTGCATGCGGAAAAGGAGTTTCTTTTATTCCCGACATCTTTTTGAAGTCCTTTAATGCCATTGCGTCCACTCTTCCCGGATAATGCACCAAAACCCAGCCAAACTGCTTCTGCGGCAGCGGCTCGCAGTACTTCAAGTGCCGCAGCCGATCCCCTGCAGCAGCAGCAGCAGCAGCAGCAGCAGCAGCGGCAGCAGCAGCAGCAACGCTGATGCGTGCACGGTGCTTGCGAAAGAAGCTGTCGAGGGTAAGTCGTATTTATTTATTGCATGCAAATATATGCATGTGTTGTGGAGCATTTAAATAAAAGATTGTCTTGTAAATGAAAACAAAAAAACTGCTGCAAAGAGAGCAAACACTTTGATTTTATAAACAGATAAGAATTTAAAAACTAAAGATAGTTTTATATTTCATAACAATAACATTCAAATAAGACTTGAACTTAAAGACAAAAGAGGAAATAACATATTTACAATTAAAAAATAAAAGGAAGTGAAAAGGAGGCGCATGCAAACAAATGGAGATAAACAAAGCGAAAAAGAAATGCTGCAATTATTAAAAGTGCAGAATTGAAATACATTTGAAGAGCTGCGGAGAAAAGAACAGCAAGTGGCGAAAAGAAGAAAACAAACAAACAAAAATGAAAAACGCATGCAGACTTGCATGCGCATGCAGACTTGCATGCGCATGCAGACTTGCATGCGCATGCAGATTTGCATGCGCATGCAGCTTGCATGCATGCATGCAGAGAGCGCAAAAAAGGGCTTGAGGAGCTGCTGCGAAGCCGCGAAAGCGGCGCTGCATGCAGCAGCAAAGGCGGCCTCAAGTGGCCCGCAAAGGGGCCTCTGAGAGCAGAAAAAGTGCAGCAAAAAGGCAGCAAAAAGGCAGCAAAGAGGCAGCAAAAAGGCAGCAAAGAGGCAGCAAAAAGGAGACTTGCCCATGACGATTTCGTCGACGTCGCTGACGAGAATGAGGTCTTCGTCCTGCAGAAAGCCCGGGGCCAGCCCCGGGCCGCCGCGGGCGTTCAGCCGCGCCAGCAAGTGCAGCAAAGAGTCTCTTTGGAACATTTCATATTCCCAGCAGAAGTCCTGGTCCGCGAGGAGCCGCTGGCTGCAGCGGCGGGCCAGCGGCAGCGAAGCTGCGAAGGGCTGCACCAAGTGGATTATTTTGTCTTCGAAAGCTGCAAATCTTTTGCGATTTCGCTCGAAAAAAAGCGGCTTCGAAAACACCCCCAGCGTGTGCTGCGGCGCCTCCGCCACCACGAAGTAGTCCGCCGTGTGCTGCAGCTCGTGCCACCGGATTTCCAGCAGGTCCAAGTCGTAGCTGCGCGCAAAACCCCAAAATTAAGGACATTTCGAACCCAAAAAGGATAATTTAAACTCAAAAAAGACTATTTACACTCAAAAAGGATAATTCAAACTCAAAAACGCCGAAATTCCGCAGCTTTCCGCCCTTTTTCCGTTCAGATCCGCAGCTTTCCCTCCGCGCCGCGGGGTGTACAGACACCCGGCAGTTCAACTTCTTCGCGCGAGCTCCGCAAACGCGCGAAAACTTTTAAATTCAGATTTGACTTTAACTTTAATTTAAATTCAGATTTATTTCAACTTGAATTTAAATTCAGATTTACTTCAACTTGAATTCAAATTCAGATTTGACTTCAACTTGAATTTAAATTCAGATTTACTTCAACTTGAATTTAAATTCAGATTTCCTTCAACTTGAATTTAAATTCAGATTTATTTCAACTTGAATTTAAATTGAAGTTTTTTGCAACTTGCCCCAAAATCACGGCGTCGACGATTTTCACCGGCTTAGGCCGCGGCTTCCCCGAAAAGAAGCCGCGGTGAACTTCGCGGGCGGCTTCGCAGTAGTCGTCGACCAGCACGTAATTGTCGTGCTCTTCAGGAAGAGAATAAAGCCCCGACTCCCCTTTTCCTTGCTTCTCAGCTGCAGCACCTGCTGCAGCACCTGCTGCAGCACCTGCTGCAGCACCTGCTGCAGCACCTGCTGCTGCATCTGCTGCTGCCCCTGCTGCAGCACCTGCTGCAGCACCTGCTGCTGCGCCTGCTGCAGCACCTGCGGCATCGCCCGCTGCAGCACTTCCTGCAGCACCTGCCGCAGCAGCACTTCCTGCAGCGCCTGCTGCAGCACCTGCAGCAGCAGCAGCAGCAGCAGCAGCAGCAGGGGTGGCGGCTTGCTTGCTGCGGGCCTGCCACTGCTCGCGCTGCAGCGGCTGCACCCAGTAGCTCCTGGGGGCCCCGCAAGAAGGCTCGAGGGCCGCGGGCGGCTGCAGCTCCAAGTAAGGACTCATGAGGGCCAGCAGGGCGTTGGCGTCTTGGCGAAAAAACTGGTGCATGAAGTGGTCCACTGGTCTCCAAATGGTCAGCAGCTTCCGCAGGTACTCGGGGAAGTGGTACTGCCACCGCGCGCGGGCCCACCACCGCTGCAGCCGCAGCGGCAGCAGCTGCAGCGCCAGCTGCAGCGGCGGGCAGCAGCAGCCGCCGCTGCTGCTGCTGCTGCTGCTGCTGCTGCTGCTTGGGTCCGGGTCTTTTTCTTCGAAGCCCCAGCAGATCCGCTGCGGGTCGCCCAGGAAGCGCGAGGGCAGCAGCAGCTGCGTGTGCACGCCCAGGGCCTGCAGCAAGTTTTCTTTTTGCTGCTGCAGTTCGGCGGCGTTTTGCTGCAGCAGCGGGGGCTGCAGCAGCCCCTTGCTGCGGCACTGGGAGTAAATGAAAGCAGCAGTCAGCATTTCCCGAGTTAAGTCCACTCCGGGGACTTCCGAAAGGCCAGCAAGTCCAGAAACGAAGTCCGAAGCCTCCAGCTGCTGCGCCTGCTGCTGCAGCAGCAGCTGCTGCGCTGCGCTGCTGCGCGCGAAGCGCTGCGCCCAGTGTACGTACACCTGGAGCGGCTCCGCGTCGCCCACGGCCTGCAGCGCCGCCCGCAGCTGCTGCTGCTGCTGCAGCAGCTCGCGGGCCTGCTGCAGCACCAGGGAGGGCGGCCGCAGCAACTCCGGGCTGCTGCAGAGGGCCTCCCCCACTTCGTAGCTGAACAGCCCGTAGCTGCTTTCGAAAAATCTGTTCTGCAAAGAGTGTCCGAGCGGCGAACTCCAGTGCACCAGCAGCAGCTGCGCCGCGAGGTGTACAGACACCAGAAGCGGCAGGTACAGCAGCGCCCACCGCCGCCACCGCAGCTGCAGCACTCCCCCCAAGTGCGCCATTTTGAACTCTCCAAGTCCCTCTGAAGCAGTTAGCTGCTGCCAGCGCCCGCGGGGCTGCTGCTGCTGCTGCTGCTGCTGCTGCTGCTGCAGCGCAGCGCGGGAGATCGGGGGCTAGCAGCTTCCATAAGGTGGCCTGCAGCCGCGGCAGCCCCCAGCCCCCAACTCTCCGAACTTCCGGATCTTCAGACTCCTAATTGCATTTGAAGACTCTAAAATCCAAAGTCCAGATATTTAAATGGAATTGTCAAAAGTTTACCAATTCTGACCGCCGCTTCCGCTTTCAAGGCTCTGCTGGGTCTGCGCGAGACGGAGTGGAGTGCCTGGCTCTACAATTGGCCTTCGTCGTCACCCCTCGAGGCTTAATCGGGCGAAAGACATGAATAATATTAAATATCTTAAGACAGGAATAATATTGAATATCTTAAGGCCTAAGGCACAGCTGGATAGCGCAGAATCATAAACGGGAACTCGCGCCGGGCAAAGGGCTGGACGCGAGGCCGGTGCCGCAACTCAGACATTGACCCTTCTATTATTCTGGGTTTCCTGAGCCTTACAATAATATGAACTCAACTGTACAAGATTGTTTTGTTGTTGAAGTCTTTGATCAATAATATATTGCTTTCATTCAAGTCAGACTTGTCCGAGAATATACGTAGTGACAGTGTAGTCGCCGACTCACTACACCTGTGCACTACACTGAGTGTACGTACACCGCAGCACCGGCGCGGGCTCTCCGTGGAACAACTTCTCCTTGTTCATTTTTATTGTTCTTTAGGGTAATTTTCACGATATTTAATTTTAATATTTCATTTTTGCAGTGAAACTGCAAGTCTAGGCCGCGCTTACCCCGCAGTTGAGTCGGTGGTGGCCTCCGCCAAGGGGGGCGGCGCATGTGCAGCGCTGGACACTACGAGGGGTTGCAGAACTCCTACGAAATACCGGAAAAGATAAATTTAAATGCAAATTAAATTTAATTTCGAATTTGATGTTTCAAATCAAAGGCGTTTTTAGTGTGTACAGCCACTTCACGCGCAAGTGGCCCCACAGCTGCAACGCTAGTGCCCGCCAAAGGTCTTGTGCTCAAAAGGCCATTTGTTCATGGCGCCGCATTTATAAGTGAAATAGCCGCAGCTCACTAAATGCCTCTTAGTGCAAAACTTGCATTCAAAGGCCCCTGAGAAAGCAGCCCAGACAAAGTTCCAAACAAAGAGGGACCTACATACATATACACATACATATATATATTATACATATATATATATACATATATATATATATGTATATATATATATATATGTATATATGAATACATATATAGTAAATGAAATGATTTTTAATAGAACAAAGAGGGTCTTATACACATATATACAAACTACACACATATATATAATATGTATATATATACATATATATTCTTAAGAGATAAAATGACTTTTAATGCATTAGATGTTTCATAAGCTTCGCTAATAAGTCACTTCAGTGGACTAGGCCGAGACTTTTGGGGCAAAAGGAGCAGCAAGCTTTGCTGCAGTTCATTTGTCGCAAATTTAAAAAATAGAAAGCTTAAAAAAAAGAAATTTAAAATTTAAAAAGACATCTGCAGCAGCCAGTTTGCTGCTGCTGCAGTGCCAAGCAATGAACTCAAAAGACACCCGAAAATGAGTCTTTTGAATTTGATTTGAAGTGCCAAGTCACCTGCTGTAGTTACACTGCAGACAGCGAAAGTGTTCTGCAAAGAAATCAAATCCAAAATAGAATTCCAAATATTCTTTTGCTTCCACACCTTCCGGAAGCTATGTAAATATAAATATAAATCTAGTATATACTTATATATATGTATATATATATACATACATATATGTTCAATAGATTTATACATATTATAAATATATTATTTTATATATATAAATATAAATACAAATATATTTATATATGTATATATATATATGTACATATAGATATGTATTTGTATGTACTGTATATGTATATATATATATATATATTCAATAAATATATGTATATTATAAATATATTATTTTATAGATATAGAAATATAAATATAACATGTACAGATATATATCCTTACATATATACATACATGTATATATATATATATATTTATATTCAATAGACTTATATATATTATAAATATATTATTTTATATATTCCAATTATTCGCCCTCTGGGCGCCCGCGATGGGGTGTACGGACACCGTGACAATTAGGAGGAGCAACGGCGGTAAGTGGAGAAGAATTAAAAGTTTTTAAATTTATTTTTTTTGTTTTTTATTTCTTTTTTAAACTGCAAAGTGCATGCAAGTAATCTTATAGCACTGGGGTCGAAAGAAATGCCAATTGTTCTTGACTGTTTTATCTTTCTTTAGTATAATGGATTTAACTCATCAACTCGAATAAATGCATTTATTAAATGCATTTATTAAATGCATTTATTAAATGCATTTATTAAATGCATTTAATAAATGCA